TTTTTCAGCAAACAGTAAAGTAGGAGAAATTATTTTCACAAAAACCAGTTTTTTACAATTGTGGCACTCTATTGCCACCTAGGGGTCTGAAAATTTAAGTGAGAGAGCCTCAAAATTTGCTCTTTCGGATGGCTGATCCCCGATAACGATTCATTCTTAGGCAATTTTAACATTGTTAACCCGCTATAGCATTTTAACAATGATTATGCTAAAATCCTTTGTAAAACAGCTTTAAGTGAATTGGAACGCTATGTAAATGAAAAATGTCACTATATGGTCTTTGATCCTAATAGTAATAGAAATAACAATATGTGAAAAATTTAGAGATGGAAATGAATTGAAAGAGTTTGGAGGGTTTTGAATTTGAATGCTACATTATTATGTAGATTATCGCGTATTTTGTACCTACTTACCTATGGTTCGCGACCGTGACTTTTGATACTGAAAATTATTTTTGTAAAGAAAAAAACATGTTTCTGACATATTTTTATCACGTTATTATGCTTATTACAAAAATTAATTTAAAAAAGTTTAAACCGAGAAAACACTAAAATACTTTGAATAAATTGTTGATTGATCTAGTTTATTGACACGTTTTTTCACGTGAAATATAACGAGACTATTAGTTTTTAAGATAAGCCTTTCTACAAGTATACATCTTTATCGACACATATTTGATGTGTAAGTTAAAAAAATCTTAAATTTATTTATACATTATATAAAGAATTCCAACTAATTAAGCGCAATTTTCGAGAATTTAACCGATAAATTGAAAGTTTCAGTTGCAACGATTGTTTAAATAAGTCGTTCAATTAATATCGAACGCCCTCAAATCCATCTTTTGTGCAAGATGAACCTCTGCCTCAATTAGCCACTTAATAAACAGATGCTACACCGTATGCGTTTTGTGTGTCTAACAATGCGTGAAAAAGCGTTAAACCAAGTTAATGCACGTTAATTACTTGTTCTGTTAGGAGAAGGCAAGAAAATGATGCTCAGGGGTTGGCTGGAATCCACTAATTTATTTTAATTGAAGTCTATAAAATAAACTGTTGGAGCGAAAGTTACAGCGTGCGAACAGGATTTGTCAAGAAAAACTGAAAAGCGAAAAAAAAGAGAGAGAGCTAGCTGAGAGGGGGCGCGCGCAGCAGGAGAAGAACGATGAGCTGCCCCTACTCCCAATCACATTCGAGTACTCGTCCTCAGCGGTTATTTCTCCAAACATCCCGCCCGCCTCGTTGCAGGAACGACCCTATGAAGGATTGCCTTCCTTACTGAGCTGTTCTTTGGCATTCTGGAGAGGCAGTCGGGCGATCTTGACGGCTGGGCGGACGTACTCCCCAGAAGCTGTGACAATGGTGGCTGTCCGAACCAACCGTCTGGACCCGGGTGTACGGCAGTGATCCTTCCGAGTGGCCAGCGACCGTCTTGACGAAGTAATGAAGGATCGGCGATGATGACGAATTCGCCGACCTGCAAATTAGGTCGAAGCCGCCTCCATTTGGGCCGCTGTATGAGAGTGTTGAGATACTCTCGGCTCCAGCGGGACCAGAAATGTCCTCTCATAGCTTGAATAAGCGCCCAGTGACTAACATGATCCAAATTCTCGTCGTTGGAGATCGGCTGTGGATAAAACGCAGCAGAAGTCCCGATGAGGAAATGGCTAGATGTGAGTGCGTCAAGGTCGCCCAGATCGCCTGACGGCGGCACGAGAGGCCGACTGTTGAGGATGGCTTCAACAGCGACGAGAAGCGTGACGAACTCTTCGTAAGTAAGTCGTCGAGGTGAAGCAATTCGCTGAAGGTGCCGCTTCATTGACTTTACCCCTGCTTCCCAGAGCCCGCCGAAGTGAGGGGCCGATGGGGGAATGAATCGCCAGCTAATTCCTTCCTTGGCGAGCGATCCTTCAACTACTCCCCAGTCAATCTCGGCTTCACTAAGGAGCCTGCGGAGCTCAAGGGCGGCACCGCGAAAGTTGGTGCCGTTATCGCTCCAGATTTCAGCCGGCCGGCCTCTTCGACCGGCAAACCGCTGCAGGGCGCCAAAGAAACTGACAGTGGTGAGGTCCTCAACGAGCTCGAGGTGGACGGCCTTGGTACAAACGCAGACGAAGAGCGCGACGTAGCTTTTCACAGTGAGGGCGCCTCGCCCCTTGTTACGGCACAAATGGAAAGGCCCGGCGTAGTCGACACCGCAAGTCGAGAACGGCCGGGAGGGCGTCACATACACACACTTGGGCCGGCGGAAGAGAGGCCATGCGCGAGGCTAAGGCCTTCGCCGAAAATCGGGCGCAAACAGTGCAGTTGCGGAGGTATCGCTTGACTCGAACCTTGGCCCCGGTAATCCAGGCCTTCTGCAGTGCTCGAGCATAGGGTGCCCTGAAGCCGCCGTGAATACAACGCTCATGGGCCCATCGGATGACCAACTGAGCGAGGTGTGATGATCCGGGAAGGAGGATGACGTGCCGCTCGTCGTAGGGTAAAGGGGAGCGGTCGAGTCGCCCCCCGACTCGGATTACATCGTTGTCGTCGAGGAAGGGCTCAAGGGATTTTGTTCGACTGCAGCCCTTTAGCGGATAGTCTTGGCTCAGCTGAGCGAACTCCTCAGCGAAGAAGTGACGTTGCACAATCCTGGAGCAAGCGATGAAGGCCTGGCGGAACTCGGACACCGTAATAGGAGACAGTGGCGATGCAGTGTCTCTCCGTCTTAGAAGACGAATGGCGCGTGCGGTAGCTCGTAATAAGGAATCGAGCGTCGAAAACTGATCGATGTGGCTCTTCTCCGGATGCAATGGCTCGTCCTCAATCTGCACCGTAGCGCAAGACACGTTGTTGCCATGCTGGCATGCCAGACGGTCGGTGTCGTTGACCTCGAGAGGCCACTCGCTTGCTGATTGCACCAGCTAGTCTGGGGCATGCCACCAGAGTGGGTGCAGTGCAAGTTTGGTGGAGTCGGTGCCGCGGGATGCGACGTCGGCTGGGTTGCAGCTCGTGGGGACGTGGTGCAGAGTGACGCCAGTGGAGATCTCTTGCACATGGACCACATAACTGTCGATAATGTCGTGCCCCACGGGTTCGTCTGAACGGAGCTAGTGCAGGGCAACCTGTGAATTACTCCAAAGATGGCAGCCCATAGGCGGGATCGACAGTGCGCTGGCGGTGTCCTTTAACAGCATTGCAGCGATCAGGGTGGCCCGAAGCTCGAGCCTCGGGATGGTCATCCGCGCTCGTCTCTGGGTGGTCGGGAGCAGGCTCTTAACTGAGGCTAACTTTGACTTCGCGCAGAGAATGGTGCTGGTGATTTTGCCGTTGCTGTCGGTAGCTCGGACATAGATGACAGCGGCAATGGCCCGTCGACTGGCGTCTGCGAAGGCATGCAACTGCATTTCTTGTCCTGGGGTACTGCCAAGCCAGCGGTCTATCGAAAGATCTATAGCCTCTTGAATGCTGGTGCGAAATGCCAGCCATCGGTCGAGCCAACTGGCCGGGAGTCTCTCGTCCCACTCGTACTTCGCTCTCCAGAGGTCTTAGATTATAATTTTAGCTACTAGTGTCAACGGCGTCAGCCAACCTGCGGGATCAAAGATAGCAGCGAGCTCTGCCAACGCGGTCCTCTTCGTCAGACTTGAAGGTGGATCGACGATCCCAGGGCGAAACCTGAAGTGATCCGTCACTGGATCCCAGATGATTCCCAACTCGCACACTGGCCCGTCGGTGGAGAGCCGAACCCAGTCTGGCCGCAGATGGTCCTCAGCGGGGATGTCTTCAAGAAGACCGGGCTCATTAACCACCCACTTACGTAGATGGAAGCCGCCCGTCCTGAGCAGACCGGCAAGCTGATCTCGGAGGCTCTTTGCTGCCTCTAGGCTGGAACCGCCACTAAGGAAATCATCCATATAGAGATCCCTTTGAAGCAGCTTTCGGGTCAGTGGAAACCAATGTCCTTCGTCCTCGCCGAGTTGCTACATGGTACGCAATGCGAGATAAGGGGCGCAAGCCGTGCCGTAGGTGACAGTTCGGAGAGCAAAGTGTTGAGCTGGCAAGTCGCACGAAGGACTCCAGACGATGCGCTGCAGGTGGACGTCTCTCTCGTCCATCAAGATCTACACATCTAAAAAACCGTCCCCGAATCCTCACAAACTTCCTCAGCGGTCAGTAGTCTCATATGACCCAGCTGCTCGTACTCCTCCATAAACTAACAGTAACTGTTGCGCAGAGCGTGGTCGGAGCGCATTTGTCGATGCATGGAGGTGAGGGCGGAGCGCGCATGGGATAAACTGGTCCCGAGGAGGGCCTTCTTCTCTGGCTTAAGAGGTAGTCTGACAATGTATCGACCATCGGGCGTCCGTCGGACCCCTCGAGCGAAAATAGCCTCGCACTCTCGATCGGCTGAGATCCGTCATACCGACAGAACGTCTTCGAGCGCCCAGAACCGCTGCACCAGTGAGAGAAGTTTCTCATGATTGCCTTCGTCGCACACCTGGACCGCAGTGGCGAGGGCCCTGGTGTGGGAGTGGCCGGTCGACGATTCAAAAATCGTAGTGGAACCCATCAAGGTCCAGCCAAACGCCGTGTTCTGAGCTAACAGGGAACCGACTCTCCGAGTGCCGGCTCGGATGACGCGATGGTAGAGATCTGCTCTTATGACTATGTCGATCCGCCCAGGTTGATTGAAGGTAGGATCAGCCAGCAATAACTTGCGACGGATATTGGATACCTCAAAGTCGGGGACTCCCGATGGTGGGACGATGCCGATTGACCGAAGAACGACGGCGTCGGCCCAAATGGGCGACCGTCGACCGACGTCTGCAATGTAGATCACCGCTTGATATTTAGCGGAGTCTCTCCCACGTTGGTACGACGTAGTCGGCAGCCTAGTCTGCGGGCGAAGTCGAGCTTGATGATGGTCGCCTCCGAGTACGGGTCAAGCAGCGCCCGCGCTGCAACCTTGCGGTCACCGCCATTGCTTAGAGCGACGATGGCCGTGGGAAGCACGGCTAGTCACGCCGTCCCGTCCTCTCCAGCTGGCTTCGTGCTAGTCGCGGCCGCTTGGAGCGTCGCCGATTGACCATCGTGAGATGTAGTCGGTTGTGATTCCTCATCCGTCTGACGGCTGATTCTTCCAGCGCCCTCGTGGATCAAGGTATGGTGGGCACCAGCGCAGCTCCGACAGGTGTTGTTGGAGGGGCAGTTTCTGGCAGTGTGACTGCTCCCAAGGCACTTGTAGCAGAGGCCTCTTGCAGCTACCAGCTTCCGTCGCTCTTCCGGCTCTAGCCCTCGGAAGGTTAGGCAGTGTCCGACGTAGTGGGCCTCCTTGCAAGCTGGGCAGCCCCCCCTTGCGCGAACTGTCCCAGTGGCATGTGCTTGGATTGTCTTTGAGGTAGTGGGCTGGGCAGTCTTCCGTCGACCGCTTAAGTAGTCGTTGGAGGAGGATGTAGCCACCTGACCGAGAGCGTGTAACGTGCAGTATCGCCGCTGTAAAAACTCGGTGAATTGGCTGAAGGAAACTTCGCTGGTTATCGATGAAGCGTCGGATGACATGCTGGGCTCAGGTTCTTCCTCCCAAGCTCTCTTTGTGACCGGATCAAGGGCACGCACACCCATGAAGACAAACTAGGCGTCCCACATTTGGATGGGTTGGTGCAGTCGTTCGAGTTGGGTGCGGCATCTGTTCAGCTCATCCATGAGCGACTGTAGGCCTTCTGGTGTTTCCCCCATGAGAGGCCTCAGATTCACAAGAGCGGCAAGGTGGTCTCTTACTCGCAGCTTCGGCTGGTCGTTACGTCTGCAGAGTTCATCCCACGCCTGTTTATAATTGTTCGCAATGGAGCGGAAGCTTCACAGCGCCTCCTCCGCTGGCCCCTTGACGTTCGTTTTGAGGTAGTTGATCTTCGCCGCATCCCCTAGCGTAGCGTTGTCATGAACCAGGTCCACGAAAAGATCCCGAAAGGCCTCCCAGTCCTCGGGCTTTCCGCTGAAAGTAGGCAGCTCCAAGCGAGGCAACTTCGAGAGGGGAAAGTCTGTGCCGTGGTCTGCCGCAGTCAAAGATACGTTGGAGGTTGACGCACGGTCCTCTGAAACCGCGCAGCGGGCTTGATGATCCAGCAACATGTCGCGGCTCTCCACGTAAAGCTCCTCCGCCAGTACGAAGGTGTAGCTCGACCGATAATCAACGGCCGACTCATCGCCAAGGGTCAGGAGCTGGCCATGATTGTGATGAAGATCTCGCCAGTATCCTTCCAGTAGCTCAAGTCTTGAGTTGATGGACCCGAGCGTCCAGTTCGTCGTAGACGTGCTTGCGACCCTTTCAGCAATCCTCTGGATGGCCCGTTACAACTCCCGTTGAATGTCAGCAAGCTCCATCTGCCGATAATGGGGATGGAATTTAGTGTGGGTGCCGTGATCGGGCAAATATTTGCGCGGTCAGCCAGCTGACACCTGAAGCCGACCTCTCGACGCATGAGGCCAGAGCGCTGAGCCGAGCGAATTCGATTCTAAGTTCGGGTCGATTAAGCGCAGTCGACAAAGGAAGCCTGGTTCGACAGTCCGACGGCTTGTCGCACACTTAACGACCTTCCTGCATGATAGCTCAGCTAATTTCAGCGCTTCGCCGCTGCGCCGCATGGCTCACTCTGTCGCACCGACCATTGCTGTAGGAGGTTCAGCGAGCCAGTGAAAGCGAGCAGCCTTGCTGATTTCAGCGCCATTCCATCGGACCGGAAGCGGCTATGAGAAAAGGGACCCATAAGGCCTCGTCGTCGTTTCGGCTGGAGTGCAATAAATAGTTGCGGGAAGGGGGTCCTCCGGTCTGCACTCTGCCATCCACGGAGATGTTGATCATCTTCAGGATAGCTTGCTTTGCTCCACTGACTCGCTTATCTCCAGACAGGCCCTGGTGCAAAGCGACTTGCTGAGCATCCGAGTAATCGTCTGCAGTAGCCGCGTGCTGCGACGTTCGTTGATCGTAATGATGCCGTCATCAGCGACGGCCGTCCGCCGCGACTCCCGCCATTCGCAATGAAACTCGGCTCTCGCGCATTCCAGCGATCGTTCGAGGCCGCCGTTTGGCTTCACACCCGTCGTCGGTGTGCGAGGCTGTTGCCATTGGCGGCCGCCCGCCGTTACGTCAGTGCATTGACTTCGTCGTTGACAGCCACCTATCGCGACGCCCACCGTTCGAGCAAAAACGCTTTCGCGTCAGCGGTCAACCACTGCCATGGCCGCCATTTTGGTGCGCGTGGCAGTCCTTGTGCCCATGCATAGCAATCTTTCACTGCGATGGCTCGTCTAAATCAGCGGCCGTCGGCAGACGATAACCACCAGAGCCACGCCAGCTTCCACGGCTGGCTCAGTCCTGTTAGGAGTTAAAGAGCTATGCTCGCGTTGCACATAACTTTCAACTCACCTTTGATTCGTTTTTTTTTTCGTCAGCGTATCCGGCTCGAAGGACCAAATGTTAGGAGAAGGCAAGAAAATGATGCTCAGGGGTTGGCTGGACTCCACTAATTTATTTTAATTGAAGTCTACACAATAAACTGTTGGAGCGAAAGTTACAGCGTGCGAACAGGATCTGTCAAGAAAAACTGAAAAGCTAAAAAAGAGAGACAGAGCCAGTTGAGAGGGGGCGCGCGCAGCAGGAGAAGAACGATGAGCTGCCCCTACTCCGAATCACATTCGAGAACTCGTCCTCAGCGGTTATTTCTCCAATCATGTTCGTTAAATTTTAATCATGAATGACAACAGATTAAGCATCGAGCATGATTTAAAATAAGAAATGAGCAATGCTTTTATTGCATCTTTGCAATACAGATATTAACACTGGTCAAAAAATTAAATAGTATAGAAGGATATAAACAAATACTCGATTCCACTTATCTACATAACATAAAATAAGAGAAAGAGAGTTAAAATAATGCGCACTGTCCGATAAGTCGGATATTCTTTCCTTTCACGGCATTTGGAGAGCATCGGTTTGGGTAGCTATGCTCCTTCTCTTGGTATTGTCGAGCTTCAAACTCTCAATGGACGTTGGCTCAGTTTATTTGGTGAAGATACTGTCCGTTACGGACAGACATAAAGAGGCTAGAATATTCAAAGAGATACTAATTTTTCAATTATATAATTATGAAAAGTTAATTTGTTGTGTATATTTTCTATACTCGTTCCAGAATAAAATAGTAGGAAACACTGATGCCCATGCTCTTGAGACAAACTGACATTTATACTTTTGTAGAAAATTATAACGGGGAAACCGCAGTAGCAATTTCCCTGCCGTCTCTGTCGTCCCTGGCCTCTTACTATTTGCGTGAGTTATCGTTAAGCCGGGCATCGATGTAATTGCATTAGCGCATTACTAATGCCCGACTTATTGGTTTGAGGAGTGGATTAGTGGTTTAGAGAGCTGAGAGTGGATAAGCTGCACAACTGTAGGGAAGGAAGTGTACGAAGTGGGAAGGGGAAAGAGAGTATAAAGGGAAACAGAAGGAGAGAAACGGGAAAGAGTACTACCTCGAATCGGTAAGACATCGGTGGCGACAGCGCGGAAGATAAATTACACAGGCCGACAAAAAATTTTACCAAGAACCCGAGTATAGTTTTCCGAAGGTTTTTTGCGCGCTGAATCCGAATCCGAGGTCAGAATTACTCTGGTGGCTCCGGTTTTCGAGATATCCTAACATTAAAGTGCAAAAAAACGCGATTTTTACCTATATTTGAGGTTATGTAGCAAAGAAAAAAAATTTTTTTTTCAAAAAACTGTATACATCAAATTAAAGTATGAGTTTTCTTCTTTCAAATGCCGTTGAGTATGCTCGGATATCTTTTTTTTTCACGAAGTTACACTAATTTGAAAATTTCAAATTTTATGAATTTAAAAAGCACCACACCATTCAGCCCAAGCTATCTAACAAGTAACCATATTAAAGAGCCACTCACCAATTTAAACCAAACTTGGAAATATGACAAAACACTAAAAAATATTGTGAGCATCGTGCTTCTATTTACAAAATGCTCTCTTACGGGTAGAAACCACCCCTGCCAACCCCTAAACAGGCTCACCCACATAACCCTGGGTAGAGCAAGTTTAATTAACTGCTTTTTGATAAAAAAACTCATTTTCTAATCACAGGTATGCGTACTAATATGATCTAGATAGGCCTCATCCCCAAATACCTCCTCAACCCTTTAAAACCAGCCCTCCCAACCGCGTACAAAAAATAAGCTGCGTATGTCTATCTGTGATTAATTCCTTCATCGAATTTCACATGATTAAAATAGCTTACCCAGGGTTCTATGATTAGCCTGCCCAAGGGTTTTTAAGGGTTGTACATGTATACAGGGATAAGGCATATCCAGGTTAAGATGTGTATGTCTATTTGTGATTAAAAAATTTATTTTTTCATCAAAAAGGATTTAATTAAACTTGGTGTAACTAGCGTTACGTATATAAGCCTGCAAGGGGTAGATAGGGGTGGCTTTTAACCCTTTTCGGCATACATTTTTCTATTGACTATTCTGGCTTAAAATTTCTTACTCGGGGGTTTTCGGGGTCGCTGAATACGAATCTACAGTCAGAATTTTCATTTTTGAAAATCCAAAATGGCAGATTCAAGATGGTGGATGAAAATCATAGAATTAGCATATTTTTGGTTGGAAATTAGTACTCGGGGGTTTTCGAGGTCGCTGAGTTCGAATATACTACCAAAATTTCGTTTTTTCAAATCCAAGATGGCGAACGCCAGATAGCGAATTCAAAATGGTGGAGGATATTTTTTTGAAATCAATATTTTGCTCGAAAAATAGTAACTTGAAGGGTTTCCAAAACCCCCGAGAATGAGTTTTTTTTACCGAAAAGCAGTTGATTAATCTTGCTCTACCCAGGGTCATGTGCGTGTGCCTGCTTAGGGGTTGGTAGGGGTGGTTTTAAAGGGTTGAGGAGGTATTTGGGGATGAGGCCTATCTAGATCATATTAGTACGCATACCTGTGATTAGAAAATGAGTTTTTTTATCAAAAAGCAGTTAATTAAACTTGCTCTACCCAGGGTTATGTGGGTGAGCCTGTTTAGGGGTTGGCAGGGGTGGTTTCTACCCGTAAGAGAGCATTTTGTAAATAGAAGCACGATGCTCACAATATTTTTTAGTGTTTTGTCATATTTCCAAGTTTGGTTTAAATTGGTGAGTGGCTCTTTAATATGGTTACTTGTTAGATAGCTTGGGCTGAATGGTGTGGTGCTTTTTAAATTCATAAAATTTGAAATTTTCAAATTCGTGTAACTTCATCAAAAAAAAAGATATCCGAGCATACTCAACGGCATTTGAAAGAAGAAAACTCATACTTTAATTTTATGTATACAGTTTTTTGAAAAAAAATTTCTTTTCTTTGCTACATAACCTCAAATATAGGCAAAAATCGCGTTTTTTGCACTTTAAGGTTAGGATATCTCGAAAACCGGAGCCACCAGAGTAATTCTGACCTCGGATTCGGATTCAGCGCGCAAAAAACCTTCGGAAAACTATACTCGGGTTCTTGGTAAAATATTTTTGTCAAATTCTGTCGGCCTGTGTTATATTCGGCACCGCAGATGGTAATTCTGACTAGCTGGTA